AGTCGGACGCTTAACCGACTGCGCCACCCAGGCGCCCCCTGTAATGGGTCTTTTAAATTTAGTTCTTCCTCATTATTTCATTGTAATAGCATTTAAACTAAAATATTATGTATTATTTTATGGCTCCATTTGGAGTGGTCCTGAGTCACAATCTCTTACAGTCTAGAGAAGCTAAACAATCTGATTTGCCTTAAACATTGCCAGTTCATGGAAATCTGATCTGTATGGGTATATGTCTCAGGGAAAAATCTTGAGGCCAGATCTGCACTGATGCAATATGTTAGTTATATTGGATTATTTGTAAATTACAATGTCTAAACATAAATCTATGTTCACATGGTAATCTTCAGCATTTAGTCACCCATCTGCAATGTGGAGCAAGAAAGGCTTAGCATTGAGAGTAAAAAAATCATCCAAGGCATCACTATAGGCCCCTTATTGCTGGGGTCAATAACAGGCCTAAAAATTTGGGTAGGTTTTCTTCACAGGAGCTCAAAGGGCTATTCCTGGAGAGAGTATCTTGTTTACTATGTAACAACATAGACCTCAAAGACAGACTGTTTGGGTTTGGATCATTGCTCTGCTACTTGCTAGCTATGTGACCTCACACAAGTTACTTGACCTATCTGTACCTCAGTTCCCTCATCTGTAAAATGAGGATAACTCTAGTATCTACCTCATAGGATTGCTGTGAAGATTAAATAATATGCTTAGCCCAATGTTTGGCATGTAATAAGCACTCATTAAAAGTTAACTGCCATCATTATTATTACTATTAGTAGTGCTATATGCTCTTTAAGATAAAGGAAATACTAACATCCTTCCTTCAAATGGCTGCTAAGCTACCACTTAAATTGAAAGTATTTGAGTTCAATGCTGCCACCATCAGCTCTAATGAGTGTTCCTCACATCCACCTCCAGCCAGACATTTGAAACCTTACGAGTGATTTTCATTTCTACTTCTAGCCCTCTTTGCCTGCATCTTATTTTCTTAAGCACTATGAAGAAATAGATTCTCAGGGTCCCCTTCAACTTCGTGTTTCAGTAATTTTTTAGCTATGCTTTAGGGAAAGTTACTTGACTTTGGAAACCAGATCTTAGAAATACTGATATTTAGTTTAGTAGTGCTCTTTTTGTCTTAAAAGTACCTTGAGCAATAGTGTTGGGCTGAGACATACGAAGCTATCTGTAAAATTACTTGAGTTTCGTGTCAACTAATTTTTCCCCTCTCTGTATTATTTTAGGAAGGCAGTTTAACCATTGAGATTAGAACACAGGTTCAGGATCCCGACTGCCTAGGTTCAAATAAATCCCTGCTCTACCATTAAGTAGCTATGTAAACATTGGCAAGTTACTTAACCTCTCTAGGCCTCAGTTTCTTCATCTGTAAAACACAGATAATAATAGCATCTATGACATGGGGTTGTGAAGATTAATGAGTTAATACATTAAAGTCTTAGAATGATTCCTGCTTCACAGTAGTCTCTCAATGAACTTAACTCTTATTACTGTTTTGAGTTCACATCTGACATATGCTCACAAAAAGTTGAATTATGGCTCATTTGTATTCTTAGCAACAGTGAAGGGTAATGAATGCAGAAGCAAAATTTTCCCTGGGAGAAGTGCTGGACAATAGCAGGTGAAGGGAACAGTACCTGCTAGTGCTGATGACTGCTCCTTGTAAATCTCATGGTGTATCCACAGAAATGGAAGGTTGACACCACAATCCAATGCTGCCTACCCTTCTTCTTGCCTAGATTTTGGGAACAGAATGCCTGTTATTTTTATTATGTAACATTTTAACTGAATGGGCTAAAACATCCCCCAATCCTGTATCCTCCCTGCCTCAAGATTCCTTGAAATGTAAATGGCAGCCAATGAGCCACATGGAACTGTTCCCTGAGATCACTCACTGATGGCTCAGTAATTCAGCTACTTTTCTGCCCCTTATGAGGTTTCCTACTGAGCTTTGTGTCCAGTCTGAACTGTTCCTACTGAATTTTTTTTTTGTCCAGTCTCATCTGGTCTGTGACAATAGAAAAGGCTTTTGGCATTGATGAAAAACAAATGATACATAAGCTGCCTTGATTTCCCCTAGAGAACTCAAATCCATACTGTCATGGAAGCTGAGTCTCTTGACACATACTTGTCATCAGGGTAGTGTCATTATATTCATTGAGTGGGGAGCAGAGAGGCCATCTCTGGGGTTTGGTTTGGAGCTCCCTTTCATCTAACATGGTGTTTTGTACAGCTGCTATTCAATAAAGTTAATCCACAATGATGGCAAATTAGGAGGTCTCCTCTGTCTGGCAGCTGTCTTTCCTGCTAGAGTATTTGCTTTTCCAAGCTGGTCAAATACGACTAATGTTAGTTTTCAAAGAGAGGGACCACGAAGGGTCAGACCTTCTGTTTAAGGAGCATTGTTCTGCCCATGATACCAGATGAATCCAAAGATGGATCAATTAAGGAGTACTCATTGAATAGCTCCTTTATTTTACTTTATTTTCCCCTCAATTAAAATATTCTTAGCATCCAAATATAGACCCTGTGAAGTCCCAAAGGAGAAGAGTCTCTCATTATGGTGTCTTCCACTTTCTTGACTATACTACCTCCATAATAGGAGATGTTGGAAAATAGGGACTTATGGACTTTATTTTGTCATTTTTAAGAAGGCAGTTCTCACTGGACCCAGGGGGCCAATTCTGATG